TTTATTTGGAATAATGCAACAAAGTAGGATGCAACAATACAGTGCATTTCAAAAGAATACAAAATAACGTACAATGTAATAAATAGAAAGATACTAGATCTATCAAATAAATGTATCTTAAGGGTCTTCTGGTTTCAGTTCAAGTTGAAAATACTTATTGCTATCTTCGCTTCTTGTCTCAAATTTCTGTTCCATAACGTTAGTGTTAGTTGACGAGTTGCTTTCTCTTAAATTTCCATCATGAATGGAATCTCCTGATATACTTCCTTGTCGGGAAATTGTTCCCTTAATGGAACATATGGAATCAACAGGACTCCCTTTCTCACTCAGAAGATGATGGACATTGGATGTTCTAGATCGCATACTCGACGGACTCTTGTCTTTAAATGATGGTACTTGAGTTCCCTTTTCTGATAGCTGCTTAAAATAAATGTAAACTTTCTTTCTTCTCTATGAAACCAATAGAATGTTGAATGTTTCTGGTCGTATATATATATATATATATATATATATATATATATATATATATATATATATATATATATATATATATATATATATATATATATATATATATATATATATATATATATATATATATATATATATATATATATATATATATATATATATATATATATATATATATATATTCAAAAGACTAGAAAATACTGAAAGGTACATAATTTTCCCATTTTGGCACATGTTCAAGTAATCGGATGCTTAAAAAATCCACTAATATCAAAGTTTAATATTTCTAGCCATGTCCTATCACTCAGTACTTTTTAAATAATATTCATGACACTTACATTAGGTTTGTGCTATATAGAAACCCAATGATTTCAAAATTATAAATTTAATGTACCCTTGCAGTATCTTCTATATCGCTGTACATATGAAGATTATCTATGGATTCTCCGAAAGCAGGTTGATCTTGATTGAAAGGCATTGGTGATGCTCGTCTGAAATTGGTATATGTAAAAATGTGAACAAATTACATGACTTTAAACAAACATCTGTACTTACTAAATGAATTATTCACGAAGATACACTAATTTTAAGCTATTAGTTTCAGTTTTTGATTTGTAATAATGAAACAATAAAGGGATGAAGTTTTAAAATTCTTACAGTAGTGTTTGTTTAAACTTGCGTCCAGATAATATGAAGACTACACCCAAAATGCAGCCTACCACTCCGCAACTAAGAGCCAACAATAAGTCTAGAAATAATACAAATTAAGTTTAAATAAAGCATATATATATATATATATATATATATATATATATATATATATATATATATATATATATATATATATATATATATATATATATATATATATATATATATATATATATATATATATATATATATCTATCTGCATCTGTATCTTACCAATTCGTTTAGGAAAAGTACATGTTATAGAGATCCATTCAATGATGCATTTTGATATATTGCAATATTCTTCCTGCACAGTGGGAGGAACCTTTTCACGAAGGTTCGGATTCGTATGTAAATCTAATGTGAAGTTCACACAGGTTTTCCGATCATCAATATCGTAGAGAGAGTTGTTATTCAAAACCTTGCCTGAACAGAAAATCGTACAGTTTACACCTAAAAGAAGATAGAGTACGTGTGTTGATTGGAAGCAATTAGATAAAAAGACTAAATATTAATTATCATATAAAAGAGAAGAAAAATAATTACCAATGAAATTTTAAACACCCCCCCCCCCAAAAAAAAAAGAATAAAATAAAATAAAATAAAGAAAATTTAAAAAAAAAATCAATATACTAAATTATATCTATAACTATTGTTCAAACCTTCCTCAAGCATATTATAAGGGCAGTGTTGTTGAGCCAATTCATTTCTGATCATGATTGCATTTCTAAGACACAGATGTACTTCAATTAATCTGTAATAAAATATTCAGGAAATAGCTTTTTATTGTAAAGAAAATTTAACTAAATGCATTGTATTTCGTTTAGACTTAAAATTATCATATATATCGATCTTACTTTTCTGAGACAGTCGGTGTCACGGAAAATGACCCGCCTCTAAGTACACAGGGCAAAATAAACGACGCTGAAATTAAAAGCCATGTATTATTTCCAGAAACCTTAAACGAGTGTACCACACTATATCGAAATTTATTACCAAGACAAAAATTTTGTATAATCTAGAACCTTATATAAAATAATCAAGTTTGATGTATTGTTATTCATAAATAAATAAATATGATATATTTGTTTTCATGTCAAGTATACAACATAAATTTTTTCAAATAAATTTTGAATCAATTGCCATCTTATGAAATTTCAATCGAAATGAAGTCTGCACATTTCAATATTTCTTTGTATAAGTAAAATGTTAACTGTTTTTAAAAAATTTCAATTCCTCATCTTATTACGAGAATTTGAGTTTTTGATATTTGATTTTATCAATAGGATTATAATACTTACCTAAAGACAGAACCGGTTTTATCATTTTGTTTTTTTTTGTAAGATATGAAAAAAAATTCATCTCCTTAATTGGATTGTGATAAATATAAGTAACAACATATTGTTCTATTGAAATATGAAAAAAGGAATTCGTCAAGTAATCAAGGAAACTTTAATCAAACCTTCCTTGTTACAGATAAAACGTATTAAAAACTGGAAATAATAAAAAAGAATGTTAACGGCAAAATACAGGTCAGGGACAAACTTAAATATCACTAAAATAACATCAAGATAAAGAACAGTGATCAATCTCAGAAATCCGGCAAATAAAAAGGAAGTGTGAACTATATTCGGACCCTGAAAATACTAGAGGTGGGGCCAGGTCCCTAGGAGGAGTAAACTATAAGCATCCCTTGTTGACAGGTCGCCGTGAGCCCTATTTATTGATCAGATATACAGAGTATTCAAATTTAGTCTTAAAGCAAAGACCTAAGAAATGGTATGAATCAGGTGTGACAAATCAAGTACGACCAACATAGGTTATTTTTACAGAAAAGGGTTGTTATAAGGACCGTAGATTTTGCGGGGAAAAAGCAACTAGTTTCTACAGGACAAATACTTATGATCAGAAAAATAAATCTGCACAAATCTAATTTTATATATTCATTGATCTTTCATATATGTGCGTTATTAATACATGTAAGAACATATAATTTTTGAGCTAGGTTACAATTTTTTCACAATACGATCTACACACCATAGATACATATCTTTCACAATCTGTACAAACCATTAATTGTTTGTTTTAATTTTTTGTCGAACTGGAAGACATTTGACTTTCCAATGAAAAACATGTAGAAGTTTTTGAATAAATTCTGCTTCATAGGATAGGAATATAAAAACAAGTCGGCTTACATTTAAAGGAGCTCAATTAAATTCCGACAGTTTGTTTGAAGACCTGGTCTCCAAAGACTTTCTTTCTATCTCCTCTCTTTCTATCTTTCTTTCTTGTCAATGAGGATTTTCAGCGTCCTTGTAACATCAATTTGAGAGTATTTTTAAGTAGAATCAGAGTAATTTTTAACAAAGTAATTTTGTTGATGACAAATACAAGATACAAAATTTCCGAGCTCCATTTTTAGTAACGTTTTCATGTGTTCGACTTTAGAAAAAATGAGTATTTTAAATTTTCTAATAGTTCTTTGGAATTTTTAGAATCCACATCTGATTAACACCACTTCTAGAATATGCTATTGCACAGTGCGTCTGAAATGTTTCCTTTGCAGCAGAAAATATTTGGTAAGACGTAAAGATAGGGGCAATGTATCTTTGTAAGGATTTCTATGAATTTTAGGAATCCAGTATACGTGGGGTAGATTGAAGTCACTTTGATACAAACAAAGACGATATTGTTAGATGTACAAGCCGTTTCTGCTGGAACCATGACATATTTTGCATGTAGTCCTTCAACATCTTTTATCGTCTCCGATTAAATGAAAACGGAGGGATGGATGGATAGTGTATTGCCTTTATACATACATACATACATACATACATACATACATATATATATATATATATATATATATATATATATATATATATATATATATATATATATATATATATATATATATATATATATATATATATATATATATATATATATATATTTTGACTGGCACTTCCGAGACTGCAGCATGCATTCGATGTAGATACGGGTATTCATTTATCGAAAACTATACTGTTTTTGGAAGTGAATGTCAGTGCATGGTGGTTCTTATCCATTTGCTTATAATTACATTTATGTCCTACTTAAAAAAGCTTTATAATCCTTTACACTTAATGCGCTGTTATAACACATAATGATTTCAGGAAAATACAATTTTTTTCGAAAGGAAATAGATAGTAAAGAATGTATAGTTCATAATATATATATATATATATATATATATATATATATATATATATATATATATATATATATATATATATATATATATATATATATATATATATATATATATATGAAAATTAAAAATAACAAGGCAACAATGTTAGTAAAACGTAAGCGCTTTCATTATACTTCTTCAGACGTTTTACAATTCAAAACAAATATATATATATATATATATATATGTATATATGTGCCACCTTGTTAAGTTTCCAAACATAAAATTGGAAAACGTAAAAGGATTTGATTAATAATCCTCCATATCTAAGATATGATACCACATTAACAATTTGACATTGGCAAATGTTTCCTGGTGGTGTAGTAGAGTATAGTAGTATAATACAAACGCGAAAAAGTGAAATAATTGAAAAAAGATAAGATAATTTCTTAATTGCAAACATGACTTCGTCTTATATTAAGACTTTTTTAAAATCAAAAATTAGTAAGATAGATGGACATTTTCGTCGGAGCAATTTGTAAAGTATTTAAGAACAACAGAACACTTTAAATCAAAATCAAAATATTTCATTTAAAAATATCCAAACAGGCGGGACACAAACCAGAATGCATTTAAATATTATACAATAAATCTCAAAACAATACAGCTATAAAATATTTCGAGGATCAGTTGGGTTCTTTTCAAGTTCAAAATAATCATTGCTATCTGCGTTTCCTGTTTCAAAATCCTGTTCCATAAAATTAATTGAAGTAGTCGAGTCTTTTCTTCTCCAACTTTTGTTATGGATGGAATCGCCTGATGTACTAAATTTTGGTGAATTTGATTCCCTAATGGAATTCACGGATTCAACAGGACTTCCTTTTTCACTCAGAAGATGATAAACGTTAGAGGTCCTTGATCGCATACTTGACGGACTCTTGTCTTTTATTGATGGTACTTGAATTGCTTTTTCCGATATCTGCTTCAAAGAAATACAAACCATTCTGTTCAAATGTATTAAACCAATTCATGATTGAAAGAGCTGCCCATTGCAAGAAGCTTGAACTTATGTGAGCACATTTCACTCTTAAAATTACTAAAAAATACTTCAAAAAATAGTTTTTGGCAACTGAATGATACTGATACTTACAAATTGCATTTTCATCCTGCAAATATCCAATGAAAACAAATTTATCCTCATTCTCTCTTATATTTATCTAATATATCAGATTTCTGTCAAAACTCATATATTCAATTCACCCTTGCAGTATCTTCTATATCGCTGTACATGTGAAGGTTATTTATGGATTCTCTGAAAACCGAATGATCTTGGCTGGTAGATACAGTTGTAGACTGTGTTATAAATGACCTACAAAAAACATGAAAAGAAACTTGATTGATGAAACACAAAAGCAATTTCCACACTTACATGTACTTGTTACATGAGTAATTCACAAAGGTAAACTAGTTTGCAGTTGTAATTACTTTCCACTCTTAAATCAGCTTGCATATCTGTCACGTTTGTAAGACAATGAAATGAATTTGCCAATTAATAATTCAAAAAAGCTTACTGTAATTTGATTTTAAAGCAATGTCCAGCTATTGTGAAGATTACGCCCATAATGCAACCTGCTGTCCCACTAGCGAGAGCCAACAATAAGTCTAGAGATAATAAAAATTTTATATTATATTATATTATATTATATTATATTATATTATATTATATTATATTATATTATATTATATTATATTATATTATATTATATTATATTATATTATATTATATATATATATATATATATGATTAAACGCTCCTTTTTCAGAATTTATCGATGTGCAAACTCATGTCTTTGTACTCACAAATTGAATAAAAGTGCGAAGCGCTTTTATGGTAAGTTTGTAAGTACAAAGGCACGAGATTACGCATCGATAAATCCTGAAAAAAGAACATTTACATTATAATTCCAATCATGAAGTTTTAAAATTATTTCTCCTCAAAACCTCTCTACCATCCGTTATTTCTGTACAGGGTAGGAATACTTTATGCAGCGATGTGGAAATGAACGTAATCGACATGAACATGGATAATGTTTAACCTTTATTGCTAAAACATTCAATAAAAATAACTTATAAATGATTTGTTTCAATTTTTACATTAAAAGCTAGGTCAAGAGAGTAGTTCTGATTGAGAGTTCTATCGATGTGTAAAGTTTTTCTTGAATTTGGTCTCGTCCAATCAAAACACAGGAAATCAATCAATAAAATTAAGATTAGAATTATATATATATATATAACCCCTATGCACAAACCTAAAATTAACAAATACTACTGAAAACGTACATAATTTAGAATACAGAAAAATAAAGCTCAACTTCCACTTCAACTGATAAGCATTACGGTGAAATATCGAAATTTAGAGTCAAGCTCTTAAATGTATTTCCTAAAATTTGAGGACAAGAAGCAGCGTGAAAGGCACCAGAATGATAAAGAAAAGGATCAATAAATTTTAACATAGAACATAAAAAATGTAAACTAATGTTCATACTAATTTGATAAAATCCCCGATGCCCACTTTCCGTATCAATGTTTGTACTACCGATTTCTCTTTCATGATCTGCAAAAAAGAAAAAAAATATTTGGATGCATTATAAACTACTTCCCTCTGCATGAATCTTGTATTTTTTGGTATACGCCCCTCATTACAGTATATACAATCGTTACTGACACATGATGTTGCTAAAGATGAATCATCCTAAACAATTGCTTAAATTATTTTCTTTACGATGCTCATTCTGCGTAGATACTTATCCTGCGTACAAAATATTTGCAAAATGTTACGAAGTAGTGATAATTCTTTAAAAATATTGCAAACTTAATGGCCAATTGGTCTAAAGCTCAGACTCCTAAGTAGACCCCCCCCCCCAAAAAAAAAAAAAAACAAAAAAAAAAAACAAAAAAAAAAAAAAACAAAACAAAACAAAACAAAACAAAAACATGGATTTATTTCGTTATTCGGACTAATATGGCTTTTCCAAAAGTTCAAGGTGTATGTTCCCAGGTAAAGGATTTTATGGGCCCGGAGAAGTATATATATGAAAAATAAATATAGCATTTTAATTTACATCACTTCCAAAGAAAAATAATACAAATCACGAAAAGTACAAGGAAAAAAATCTCAAGGAATCTTACTTTTATTTTGAGGAAATGTGCATGTTACCATAATCCATTCAATAATACAGTCTGATATACTGCAGTGTCTTTTCTGGAGAGTATGAGAAACATTTACACTATTCGTCGTAGGTGTAGTTAAATCTAATGTGAACTCCACGCAGGTTTTTTCTTCATCGTAGATAGAGTTGTTCATCAAAAACCTGCTTGTGCAATAAATCGTGCAGTTTACTCCTACAATAGATTAATGAGAAAGTGTCTATCTGTATATAAAAATTTAAAAAAAAATAGGGAAAAACCAAATTATGTCATGTAGCAAAAAAATTATTTCCTTTAGGGTTATATTCTCCAAATATTTATTGTACTGAATCATATCTACAATTAATAGTTCATATCTTCCACAAGCCTACTATAAGGGCAGCGCTTTTGAGCTAACTCAGTTTGGATTATAAGTGCGTTTTTTAGACACCAACTCACTTGAGTAATACTGTTTAAAAACAATCAGGAAACAACCTCATTAATGTGAAGTACATAGGTCTAAATGTTGGATATTTCAAATTTAAAGTGTTGTCATGCACATTGTACCTACTTAACTGAAACAGTCGCTGATGCGGAATTAGACTCACTTCTTGGTACACATAAACAAATCAACAAAGCTGAAATTAAAACCCAGGAAAAACTTTTCAGAACCTCAAATAAATATATTTTTCTGTATATTTTGAACAGTATTTATCAACATAAAAGAAACGTCAAGTGTATTATAATTTCTTTTTAAAAAAAAAATTCTGATGCCATTGTATTCATCATAGGGAAATTTAGGCCATTTGAGATTGTGTTTTATCATATACTTAGTAATAAATACATCGATTCCGCACTGTGCGATACGGGTGACGTCACAATACCCTATATCAAGGACCGGTCCGATTATCCATATCACGTTTCGGACCGGCGGGCAAAAATCATATCAAACAGGAAGTAACATTGTGTAAAGTTTAAAAGTTAATTAAATTGATTTTATTTAAATATACATGTAAAATAATTCTTTACTGACATTTGTGGACTCAATTTGTTTTCAAAGACCTAAAATTGACTCTTAGATTTAAAGAAATGTTCAAAAACATGCACAAAACGTTCTGCAATGACTTTATGTTAACTCGCATATTAAGTATTTTAAGTATGTGATAAGTAGAAAGTTTAGAATGTAATATTCTCTATATATTATATAAGAAGATTATTTTGGTAATTTCATTGGCTGAAAGGACGCCACGTGATATTGATTGACGCTAAGGATCGTCTGCGGAATATGATATCGCACAATTCACAGTTCGGTTGAACCAAAGTTACTTAGATTGTGATATCATAATATAAGAAGCATGTATTTCCTATTGTGATGTAAAGACAGCCAAGCGCCAAGTCTGTTCAGTTAGGACTGTGTCAGATTATTCACTTTGAGTGATTATATAATATAACGCAGTCACTATCACGTTCTTTGTCTTCGGTCAATATCACATGACATGGGTCCTTATAACCACATATCAACCTACACTGATCTTCATATTAATTTTATATAGTATGATAATATGAGGATTTAATTAAACAGACTTGGTCTATTTTTAATGAAAATTGCATATTTTGAAATATATTTAGATACCCAGTACCCATGTTTCCTCTTCCTCTTTTTTATGTCAATACATGTACATTCCATCGTCAACTTCCCTCATTAATGTTGTAGTTTTCCAACATTAACTGACCGGTCACGGTAGCCTAGTGGTAGGGCGTTTGCTTCGTGATCGTGAGGTCCGGGTTCGATTCTCGTTCGTCGAACCACGTCTAACCTAAGAAGTAAATATAGGTAACGACTGCTCCTTCGCCAAGCGCCCGTCACTGGAAGTGAAATTCAAAAGGTCTTTCGAATGAGACCTTAAAAACCGACGTCCCATGTCACGGTAGGCGCTGACCCGATAAAGAACCCTCATTGCTCAATGGCCCTGAGTGCTGAGTAGAGGTCGTCTAAATTTGAAGCCTTTCACCGGTATATCGTGACGTCTCTATATGAGCGAAAAAATCATCGAATGGGACGTAAAAAATATTCAATCAATCCAACATAAACTGAATATTGTGTTTACGTCTCCCAACAGATTCGATACGCAAGAACATGCTCTGAGTACGATCAATTTTTATACAGATGCAAGTTACTGACAAAAAAGTTGAACCCCGTTTAAAGTCAGCTTTTTCGCAAATTCTATGGTCGTTACAATAGTCTTGTTTGTAAATACAACTTATCGTTGGGTCGTATTTTGCCTGACATGTTTGATATCATTTGCTAGGTCATTGCTTTAAGGGGATGAAGGACACATTGTCACATGACTCTGTTTAACTACGTCATAGTCTCCCTTTATATAAGTGCAAAACGTGTATAGCATCAGTTCTTCTTTAATTTTTTGACAATTTTTAAACTTTAATTACCATCTGATATAAAAAAATTAAAAAGTTTTAACATTCTTGTAAACATTAACAAATTATGAAAATGATTGATCCACTCCTCTGTTTCCCTAAACTGCGGCGTCCAACAAGTCGATGACGTCATACACGATCTGTTAGTACAGCAAGATCATACTCGGTGAATACAGGTGCGGTATTATTATGTAAAAACAGGTCATAATCAGTATATGATGAAATATTTTGAGAAACAGGGAACACAAAAATTTAATTTTGCATGGCTGATGACGGAAATCTTATGTAGGTATATCTTATTTCGCTTATTTAACTTATGTGTGACGTCATAGTTGGTTTTTTCCGTTCTCGAGAAAAGTAACATGACCCGTTTTTGTCATGCTTATGTCCTCTTTAACGATGTCCTGTGAAATAATGAGGTCAGCTTCATCATTCGAAATTTTTACAGTTAATCAATAATTTGAAGGATTTGCATTTCAACGTAAATTAAAAAATATTGAATGATAGAATTTTTTGTAAATCACGTTTTTTATTGTTTAAGTTGTCTTAAAAAGTGCGTAATTTTCCCTATCCAGATGCAGTGGATAGACAAAACTTGCTTTTTCGGATTTTAAATCCTAGTTATACTCTGAAATATTTTAAAAGATACATGTCCACTTTGATATTTTTTATATATGCTTAAAAAATCCCGTTATGGACAGAGTAATGAGCCCGGAAACATGGAGATTTAAAACTCCACTTAGATACTGTAGGGCATAGTATTTGTCAATCAATATCTCCAAAATAAGGTAAGAAACCTAATGATATAACTACTTTAAGACATGTGGGACATACTTAATTAGAAATATGCAAAATATGAAAAAAATTGAATGACAAGTATTTTTTCAGCCCAAGGTCCTTCTCCTCCTTAATACTAAATTTGATTACTTCGTTTATCTGATAAATACCAGGGTCATTCAATAAGTAATGCAACATATTTAAGAATTACTTATCACAAAAAACTTCATGGTTTTTCCTTTTGTCTTTGCAAAAGAGTTCACTTTAGTAAGCATGGTCATTACACTGAGCTGGAAGCTGTTTTAAAATTATCTCTGCCATAAAGATGAAAATGAGGGCGCATGTAAAAACTGTACTTCATTACATGAATAGTAGAAGAACCCATATTACAGATATGATTTTGATATGTGGAAAGACTTGTCTTTTACGTTGTATAGTTTTCAGATTAATTCAGAAAATGAGAATTAAAAATCGCAGTTTAACTTGTCGATCAAAATCTGCAGGGACACCAAATATATAGATGCTGTGAACAACATGATGTTTGAAAATGCCAGATTTACTTGAAAAAGACCTTAATGGTAATCTTACAACAAGCTTTATGATAAACGTGATGACTTTAACTTTTCAATCGTCAACTTCCCTTTCTTATACAGCAATATACATTCATCACCTGCATACGGGGTTTATATCTCTCAGTTGATTCGATACGCAAGAGCATGCTCTACATATGTACAATTTCTAAAACGAGGTCAATTATTGACAAACAAGTTGATGAAACAAAAGTATCAGCAGTCTCGTTTAAAGTCATCATTTCGTACGTTCTATGGTCGATACAATGACCTTGTCATCAAATACAGTTTATCATTAAGTCAAATGCTGACTGACGTTTTTCATACTAATTGTTAGGCCATTATTTACACACTGAATTGTCGACGGATTTTTCCGTTATTTCCCGATCATGACAAGGAGCCAGGGCGGGTGTGACCGGTCGGCAGGGGATGCTCACTCCTCCATGGCACCTGATCCCACCTCTGATGCTTTTGAGGTCCGTGTTTTCTCTGCACCTATTTTGTAATGTTTAATGGACTTTTGAGCATGAATACTGTTCTCGTTATCTCCATTTATTTCATTTACATTGATAGACATTACTAAGAAACTTATTATTTCATAATCACAACACTTTATAGAGGTCTGACAGAGGAAATGAATTTAAGAATGATTCTATGAGATGGATACGTCATTTCCTTACAAGTGCCGAAGAGAAAACGCGTTAAATGTGCCAACGGTCTATCTAAAAATGAAACTTTTTACAAGCCCAACGTGATGATTAAAATCAAACTTGACTTGTCCGCTAACTGAGCATGTTTTTGCATTAATATGAATAAACATGGCCCGATATTTTCTTGAGATGAAGAATTTTCCCCATATATTCCCTTGTAAAGCTTTGAACCTATATCCTTCTCCCCTGTGCCATGATTTGAACAAACTTGAATCTCTACAAACTGAAAATACTTATTTATCAATATGACTTATCATTTCCCAGCTGCTCTTTGGAAAAATTCCTTTAAAAAGATTGTTTCCCTAACATTCAATAAAAGACTTTAATCCCCTCTTGTGACAAAACCCTACCTTCAAGGTCATAAGATGAACAAATTTTGAATATGCATTTCCCGAGGTTGTATGCAAAATAATTGACTATTCATGACCTTGCTTATCTAAAGAGAAAACTTTTAAACGATTTTCCCTGTATATTCCCATGTAAAACTTTGATCCCCCATCAGGGCCAAACTCTACCCCCAGTGACTATGATTTGAACAAAGTTGAATCTGCTCTTCATGAGGATGCTTTCACATGTTTTATTTCTGGGTCAATAAAAAAAAAATTCTTTATTTCTAAATATCTGTCCTTAAAAGGGGCTATGCTGTTCATTTGACATATGATGGCATAATCACGGACCCCATTGAAATTCAAGGGCGGGTCAGGTGCCTAA